GCGCTCGTGTACCGGCGCAACTTCGAGCAGCGCGTGCTGGGCGCGGGCCGGTTCCCGCGCGCCGAGGTGGCGCTGGTGGTGCAGGTGCACGCACGGGCCGAGCACCTGCGCTTGCTGCTGAGCTCGCTGCGGCGTGCACGGGGCGTGGAGCGCGCGCTGCTGGTGCTGAGCCACGACGTGTGGTCGGCTGAGCTGGAGGCGCTGGCGCGCGCTGTGGACTTCTGCGCCGTGCTGCAGGTCTTCTTCCCCTTCAGCCTGCAGCTCTACCCCCGCGAGTTCCCGGGCCGCGACCCCCGCGACTGCCCCCGCGACCTGGGCGTGGCTGCCGCTCGCCGCACCGGCTGCCTCAACGCCGCCTTCCCAGATGCCTTTGGCCACTACCGCGAGGCGCCCTTCGCCCAGGCCAAGCACCACTGGTGGTGGAAGCTGCACTTCCTGTGGGGCCGCGTGCGCGCCCTGCGCGACCTGCCTGGCCCCATCGTCTTCTTGGAGGAGGACCACTATGTGGCGCCCGACTTCTTGCACGTGCTGGCCCACCTGCAGGGCCTGCAGCAACGCCACTGCCCTGACTGCCAGGTGCTGGCGCTGGGCAGCTACGGGCTTCCAGGTCGGCACCGCAGCGGTGGGGGGGAGGGCGAGGCGGCGGCGTTCGCGGGCCGTGCCGACAAGGTGGAGCTGAAGACATGGCGCTCCACGGAGCACAACATGGGCATGGCCTTTGGGCGGGACACCTACCAGCAGCTGCGGGCCTGCGCCGACGCCTTCTGCACCTACGATGACTACAACTGGGACTGGACGCTGCAGCACCTGACCGTGGCCTGCCTGCCACGCTTCTGGAAGGTGCTGGTGCCCGAGGTGCCCCGCGTCTTCCACACCGGCAACGACTGCGGCATGCACCACAAGCAGACCTGCCGGCCCGGCGCCCTGGTCGCCAAGGTGGATGCCCTGCTGGACGCCAACCGGCAGCACCTCTTCCCCGACACCATGAGTATCAGCAAGCGCTACCCGCTGGCCCCTGTTGCCCCCCATGTCAAGAACGGCGGCTGGGGAGACATCCGCGACCACGAGCTCTGCAAGAGCTACCACAAGTTACAGTGAGCTGTCAGGCCAGGGGCCCCCTTGCCTCTCCCCTCTTCCTCCTCCCCCTGAGCGGGTCGGACGCTGGAGTGGGTCAGCGCATTCATGACCTGGTTTCTGCTTTAAGAATGAATAAATGCCCGTGGCAAAGGTGCCCCAGAACTGTCCTTTGTCACAGGGAGGTGGGGAGACATGGCAAGGCAGGGCGGGACCTAGTCTTGGGTTGCGCTCCTGGTGTGCAACCCGCACCCAGGTGCGAAAAGCAACTGTTGTTGTGCGTTTACTGAAAACAAAATCAGCTGTCAGTGCGCATCTTAACTCGGGCCAGGTTTGTCCTTCCCTGGCCCCGTGCAGACAGTCATTGAAAATGAACCAGACCTATCACTTTTACAGTACAGCAGCAGCAAGGGTGAGAGTTGAGCGGGGCTGATCCCTAGACAGTTTGCGAAGGGACCGTCCTGTGTTGCTTTAAACCCTGAGTGCTGCCATGTTCAGAGGGAGAGAGAGCAGGACAGTTGCTCCAAATTCCACAGTCTCGTCTCATTTTTAGGCTTGCTTGAGACCTGGAACCTTCGTCCCTGCGAAGGTGTTCTGTTTTATTTGCTGTGTATTTGATTATTACACACAGAAAATTATTGGTTTTGTTCATTGTAGATTTTTTTTTTTTCTTTTTTTTAGTTCTGCCAAAATAAAAATCACTTTTTTGGGGGGGGGGGTAAAACTGCCAGTCCTTGATTCTGGGAAATGTTGAGTTTTATTGTTGTATTTTCTTGCTATGACAAAATAAATTCTGTTCTTCTTATACAAAGAATTGAACAAATACCATTAGCCATTCAAATGGCGTACATTAAACTTCATTAAAAATTTAAGGACATTTGGTAATTGACATAAAATAGAGAAACAAACTCATGACAGTACACCTCCATCGGAACAAACATGCAAAATACTTAGGCTTTCAAATTAGTCAGCCGTGTAAATTGGACAATAAAAACACTGCTGTATAATGGAAATATACTGAATTAGAACCAAAAGCCGTGAACAATACCAAACAATGCCATTTGTTAAATCGAAACATTGACTTATTAGACTGTTCTGAGGGTAATGATACATCTGTTTCAAAGGCTTCTAGCAGTCAAGCATAGCTAGTCTTGATAGTTTGGTTGAAGAAGCTTCTTTGGGGAACAGATTCCACTGAACTGCATAAGAACATTATCATATAGTGGAGAACATGCACAGCAAATGGAACAGAGTCAGTTAAGGATCATTTAATGCTTCTAAGTCCTAGTGAGTTTGTAAGGGCATGTTACAGTAAGCCTAAATAAATTGCTTAGTTTTCTGATAAGGGTAACTGGAGGTCAGCGACTGTAGGGCCCTGTCTGAAAGGATTATCAGCTTGCTGAAACTTAGCTGATGCATTTTTTTTAAAGCAAAACAAAAACCTGAGAACAAAATTTCTCTCTCTCTCCTGCTTTATGGCAAAGAACTAAATTGCTTACATGTGCTCAGTGAAGAGGGAACAATGTCCCCACATTTTTCTAAAACCACCTCTCTAGGCTCTTTTTCTTTCTAAAATAGTGTGTTGCCAAAATAAATTCTTTTTCTGCTGGGTAATTTAACTGCCAGATTTCCAAGCTGTCACAAGCACTGAGCTTCTGTACTTCTACATGGAGTTACGTGCAACCACAAGGCGTGCTTGTAGTTAGCAAAAATAATGTAACCAACCTCATCTTGGGTCCTGCTCACTTTGTCTTGTAAAATGAATTTGATCCTGTTTTTGTTCAAAAATATATTTTCTTCCTGTACTGCTAAAGGATCCCTTCGTAAAAGCAGCAGCTCTTTTAAGAGCACCAGAAAAGGGAACTGAAAATTTATCATTAAAATCCAGATGCTCTCTGTTTAAACTGTGCTTCCTCTGACTTCCAAGCCAACAGTACAGCCATTACAACCATGAGGAATTGTCTTTGACGGGTAGAAAGAAACCAGACAGAAGAACTTGATGCTTAAGTGTAAGTAAGATAAGGACTACATGAATAAATGCAAACTGTGTGGAAAATGCTGGATCTGGTAGGAGCTGGCAAAGGAACAAGTTCTTCAACTAATAGTTCCATTGGTGTAATTTGATAGTCCAGGTTGATGGAAAATGCTAATTTAGGATTGAGCCCAATAAACAATTTTGTAAGGAGACCAATTAATTAATAAGTGAATTTCTCCAGCTAATGAGGAAATCCCACTGATTACTAAAAATTGTTGGCAGGTTAGTCCAACTAAATGAGGGCTTATGAGCTGTTTACTTCAACAGTATGGTAGGTTGGATAAATTATGAAGGCGGGCATTACAGCAGTGAAGTGCATGTACTAACAGATACAAAATGACACGTCAGAAAGATGACTGAACTACTCAAGATCTGAGCTCAACTGCCTGGAAGGATGGTAAACCAGAGTGATTGTTTGTCTGGCTTACATTTCTACATCTGAACAGAAACCAATTACAGGTAAAGTTTAAAACCACTCAAATCCAAAAACTGACAGCAGACTGAACCTCACTTAATATCAGAGCAAGGTAATTTTTGGTGTACAGTGCAGGGGCGCTGGTGTTACAGAAGCAACAGGAAACCTCTTAACTGAAACAAATTAGTCTAATTCATATAACACAGAGTTCTGAAAAACAACTGCACAGCGAGTTGTGTGATCCCGAATGATTTGCATGCTCCCATCCTGTGTGTTAATTTCTTTTATCACTGGAGAAGCAGGTCTGTGGTTTGGATTATGCTGGCTCTCAGCTCCTGGTTCTGAACCGGTGACTACTTCTCTCTCTCTGATGTTTGTCTCTTTCTCCAAAGGAAGAGATTCCTGTTTTGCATGGTCTAAGGATGCAGTGGACTGCTCTGTGGACAAAGTAAGTGCCAGCTCTGGTTTGTGTCTCTGCGCTTTCACAGGAATCGCTACACTCGTCTCAGCAGGGTCCTGTTGCAAATAATGGCTTGAACTACAACCTGCTTTTGCCATTGTTTCAGCTGCTGCCCGCAAAGGTCCAGAAGCAGCATCTGTTTCTGTAGCGTGTCCTTTTGTGACAGCATCAGCTGCAGCCTGGTTAGTTTCTGTCTTTGTTTGAAGGCAGTTTCCATTCCCTCTCTCAACTGGCTCTTCCCCTGTATTGTTAACAGTTTGTTCTTTTCCACCGAATTCAGAATGATCAACTGCCTGTGGCTGTTGAGAGAAAAAAAAACCCAAAACAGATTAATTGTTTTTGTGTATCATAATAGTTGAGGCTGAGTGAACATGCACGAATGCTGTCAGAGGCAGACTGAAGGATTCAGAAGGCACTTAGTCCTATGACACATGTAAGCTGTGTTATGCCTGTTTGCACACAGCTGACTCAGAATGGTGCTGCCGGTTTCTCAGTCTAGGAATCAAAAGGTTGAGGCTTACACGTTGGGATGGATTGTGCAGAGGTGGTTTGCCTCTTGCCAAGGTTATTGCCTGTTCTGGAGAGAGCATGCGCTGTGGGGGAGCTGCTAAACAGTCACAATGTCTATCAAAAAAGGCCAGGCAATCGCCCTTGGGTTATGTTATGTGGACAGCTTTGCATTTCCTAGGACTGCAAACTGGCCGCAGAATCTACACTTCAGTGTGGGGGGAGAAATGTTTCCAGTATTTTTGATTAGGAAGGCTGCTGCACCCATCAGACAAAGAACGTTCAACTAATATTGTGTTCCCAAGTCAGCACAGAACTAATCTAGAAACCAGCTCCAACTCTGAAACCAGATGAGCAGATTTCAAGCCTCTATATACATATACTCTTGACTCCTGTAGCAGAGCCATCTATGGTGTTTTTTGACCACTGTCAGTGAATAGTCATCTTGTAGGTGACTGCAGCAGATTAGCTCACTGCAAAGTTTGCCTAGCCCTTGGAACTAGGAGTTCAAATACTTGCCACCTATCCAGCCTTCTTTACTCCTACATCCAAAACCCTCCCGCCAAAGTCCCTCATCCTGTCTGCAAGGAGAAAAAGCATTTTTTTCCAGAGGATGATCTTTTATTGGACTAACTACAGAGTTGGGATAGAGTTAGAGAAGCTTTCAAATGCAAGACATTCCTCAGATCTCAAAAGCTCATCTAACTTTATCCCAACTATGTAGTTGGTCTAATTCAAGATACCATCCTAAGCCCCATCAGACATGCAGGTAAAGGCACAACAGAATCAGATGTATGATCCACACAGTTGCACTTCTTGCACACATGCACGGCAGGAGATATGATTATGGGATCAAGCAACTGATCCCATCACATCTTATTGTTGGTGCAGGGGGAGCCCAGGATCATGAGGCATGTGTTCCTCCTACACCAGCAAGTAGCAAGCTCCCATGGCTAGGAGTCCTGTCACCTGATCCGGGCTCCCAGCTGCAGGGCCTCACCATGTGCTCACCTGGCTAGGAGTCCTATCAGTCAACAGGGCTTGCAGCTGCAGGGGTGCACCTGGCCACACCTTCAATTAATCGCATCATAGGGAACAGCTGCAGAATTATTACACAGGTTTTTTTGTGGGGCAACTTTGTGGCTTATTCCTTGTTTTATGACAACACTGTTTTGCCATGTGGCTGGGTCACAATTTAAGATGTGACTGACTGGTTAACTGCATTTTGTGTGTAGTGTGGCAAGGCCTTAAGGCATCCTTGCCTCCTAATCTGTGGATCATCATGGCTACAATGTCACTCTTATGCTACTGTTTCCTGAGAGTGGCAGTTTCACCTGCTGCTCAACCTAAGACCTTCCTGCCTGCCTTTTCCTGCATGTCAAAAGCCAAATCAGCTTATCCAGCTACACTCAGGCTCCACCTTTCCTCTGAAGCTGTCCACAGTGTCCTGATGCAATGGAAATATAAAGTTCTGCAGCCTACTGAAAACCAAGAGTTGCATGGAAGTGGTAACATACAAAATCAAATTACTGGATTAAACTGCAAGACAAGGGATTGCCATAGCAATTCCCTAAACCAGTGCAATCCAGCTTTTTTGCTGTTACTTGAGAAACATGTATATTCATGTGACGTGCCAGCCCAATCTTAGTGGGAGGCATCGTAGAGATGCACCTTTCAGACAAAACCCAATACATCTGTGATTTACTTAGTCTCTAAGGTGTATCTCTTCCCTGCTTTCTGCATGACTTCTAACATGGCTAACCACCTCTCCCCACAACCTTTGTATTACAGGTGGACCACCTCAGCCTAGTGAATAAATAACCAGAACAGATAGGAACATCTTGAGTGGAGCCACTGACCCCAGGGCAAGCTCCACGCTCTGTACCCTCGTCTGAAAGTCCACATTCCACTTCTGACCTGCTTTTCTGATAAGTAGCTAAGCCGTACCTAAGGCCAGGTATGCGGCTGTAGACATGCCTCTGAAGAGTCAGCTTGAAATTTAGTCTGTTATAAAAAGCTTTACATCTGTCCAAGTACTGTCTTCTAAAGCCCTACCAGTTTTGTACTTACTGTCTTATGCTTTTCTATCATGAAAACATTTTGTTTTCCTTTGTTACTATGAAAAATGCATACCCGCAAGAGAGGAAATGGCCGCTAGAGAAAGGAAGCGTGAGCTTATTGTGCAAAAAGTTAAATGGAGAAAGCAAAGAAAGCATGTTTATGTTTCCCTTTATGCTTTTTCCAGTATCAAGGAAGTAACTTTAAAATGTCTTGTATGTAGTAACTGAACTAAATCTCTGTAGCTGGGCAGCAGAGAAGGGAATAGTGATATTCTGGTGAAAGCTGAAAGTCAGATGCTGGGAGAGGTGGATTCTCTTCCTGACACAGCCATATTTCCTGCATGACTGCAGAGAAGTTGCCTAGCCTCTGTGCTCTGGTTTTCCTTTCTGTAAAATGCAATATTTAACCTCAGAGGCAGTGCACTACATATTCTGTGCAGACGGAGAGAATGAAGAAGGTAAGTGCCCTGGCACACGCGAGCAGCAGTGTTGGAACTGGGTCTCAAGAAATCCTGCTTCCTGGCCCCATGCTGAGCCCCTATTCACAGGCCATGAATACTGAGAACGAACAAAAATAATCACGTGTAACACACAAATGAGGGAGTTATGCATTTGGTTATGAGTCAGGAGGGCAGCGTTTATCAAGTCTCTCATCAACAAAACAGGAAGTTTCACTTCAATTAAGTGAAATGGAGTTTAAGGTCAATTAGTGTTTCCAAAAAAACATTAACATGTACAAACATTTCTTCCCTTAGGCTCTTTTCAGGAGGATCTACATACATACAGCAGGAACAAAGCCATTTCAGTGAGGTTTTAAACACCCATCGTAATCAATAGGCAGAGGCAGTATTGCAACACAGAGCCTTACCTTTAATCTGATTTGACTGTTGTCCTCAGTAACATTAAGTATTTCAATTAAGGGCTGGCTTTCTAGTGCTGACTGTTTGGAAAATGAAGAGCTTAAGATGCTGCCCAGAAATTCATCTATGTTTTCTTCACTGACAAACAACCTTTCCTAAAGAAAAGAAAGAGGATCAGTTACATCCTTGTTGGACTATGCTTCTGCGTTTTTATAGCCAGAAACCTTCCAAACAAAAGCAGCAAGCTGACTCCAAACACCCAGCAGAGATACTTGCACATCAAGTACAAAAAATAACTTTTGCACTTCTGATTTAATTCATTTTACATTGGACATTCAGCTAGGATAAGATACAAATATGAAATAGTTTAAATCTGCATTTCAAAATACAGGCAACTTCATAGGAAAGGGAAAGGCTGAAGGGGCTGTGTATTTTCCACAGGCCATACATTTAGTTAAGGTGCCCACCTGAGCTACTTATAACAAATCTTTCAGTTGCCCTTATTTGTCCTTTAATACTGAAAAGAAAGGGAAAGAAAAGAAGTTCTGCATCAATGGATTTGCTTGAGTATCTACATTAGGAAAATGCTAACACTTTGTTCGTAACTCTAGCTCATTTTAGTCATCCGAATTCTAGAGTGGAAACTTAAAGATCCATGACAAGATCTATTTCAGATCCATACAAGGAGCTTGTTTCGGATCATCAGCCAGGTAAGAGTAAAAACTGGTCACCTGGAATGGAGAGAGAGCCTACACTGAACCATAACAAAACCAAACTTCAAGTTACCTTTTAAAGCTCTGAATATGCAGTGTAGGTGCACTGTGGAGCATGTGGTGAGAAGTTTTACATCTTAAACCTGCTGTAATATTTGACAAGGAGCTCAATGATTTTAATGATTAACAGTCCCAAAAGTATGCCCAGGGGACTCTTACTGATCCTTAAAGCCAGAAACACTTTCTGTATTTTTTTAGTATCTTTTTCTATTTTGCAATTGTCTTCACTGACAAATAATGGGAAAAATGTTGATCCCCTCTTTTCCCTTTAAATAAGCAAAGAGTGGAGGATTTTAAGTAATCCTTTTAAGTCCCTCATTCCTATAGTCTTTTTTGTTCTAGCTGCACTGTAAATGCTGGAATGCCTAAGTCCAGCCACCAGTGACATGCTGTTGGAGTGAGAAGCAGTGAGGCGATTTTGTATATTGTCAGCCCTCTAGAAGTTCACATCCAGAAGCTGTGTCACATCTGGGCTCTCAGGGCGCCTATACACAAGTGCAGAGGCTGCTCTGACGCACTGAATTTCTAACATGCCAGAGCAGACTTGATTAATCGAGTCTACTGGAGCGTGGCAATTGCCACACTCCAGCAGCCTCCTCCATCTTGCGTGTCAGCATCCCCGCCCTTAAGAATGGCAACGAGGGCACTTGAACTTTAAAGCACATGTAAAAGTGCCCTCAAAGATTAAAGCCTCCTCTTTTAAAACAAGGCCTTATTGAGAAATTAAAGAGTTTCCTGCTTACCACAGGAAGGTGAGACATTGCTATCCAGACCTCATGTATAAACAGCTGATCTGCAAAGTATGGGACTAAATCTGTTTCCAGACCAGAGTTCATCGTGCAAGACAGAAGCACATAAGGGAGGTTCCAGAGCAATCAGTCACACAAGAACACGGGAGGGCTTGGCCACGCTGGCAGTCCTGCCACCGGTAACGAGAACTTTTGTTGCATGTTGGGTAGGACTTGGGTATTGACATCCACATGCTGATGCAGACTTGGCAGCAGGTTGTTGGGCACAGGGAGGATTAGGACTCAAGGGTTTCCAGCTCCTTGTGATATCTGCATTGTTTTTCTCTCCAGCAAACAGTGACCTTACATTTAGAATCCCCTTCAGGTCTGTCTTGGTTATACGGCCTCATGGCACTCTGCTTGGGGATACCTAAAATTGTTTATTGGTAGTTTGTGAATTTTACTCTCCAACTGCTCGCTGTTATCAAATGTCATAGGAAACGGTGACCACAGATGGGGTGCAGCACAAGCTCACTCCCACGAGCCCGCAAATTATAGATTGGGGAGGACACAGGTGGCATTGAAAGAGAAAGTTCATCCTTTTTACGTATCAAAACGGCAAGGGTCATTCCTCAAAAAAATATAAACAAAATGCCAGTAGTGCAAGTAAAATCCTCCACAGTTACACTGGCATTTCCAAGTAAGGGAGAGCACAGGGCTTTTTCTAGCAAAAGCCAGGATTTCATATGAGTGAGGGAGGTGGGGGAGCAGAGGGTGGCATGGTGTTTTTCCCCCTCCACCTCCAAGGTAACTGGCACAAGGTTGCTACACTTAAATGTGAGGGCACAGCAAGTGGAGAGGAAAGGTGACCCCACTTGGGGTTGGGCTGCAAGTCAGCAGAGCTCCATACATTACCTTGAGCAAATCTTTCTCAGGTTTAGGCCCTCTGAGTGAGTTAGTTTCTAAGGTGCCACCATGTCCTGCTTTCTGCTTAGGTTCTTCTGTCACTGGTGGCCAACCTTTTCAGCACGGGTGCCACAGATTAGCCCCACATCCTCCCTTAATGCCACTCCTATGTCCTTCTTCCTTTGCTGGATCTGCTGCTCTGCTTTCTGCTCCCTGCCTTGTGCTCCCTCCCCATTCTACTGCTCTGTTTCCTGCCCTCTCTCCCGCTGTGCTGCCTGCCCCCTCTCCAATCTGCCATGTGTCACACACACAGGTGGCCTGTACTACTTGTGCGGCAGCTTGGCCGCCCCTGTTCTGTGTTCTTAGTAGGCGTTAATGATTTTCCTTTCTCCCCATTGTCTCTCAGTCTGCTCTATTTAGACCAAAAACCTTTTGGAGGAAGGGGCCAGCTCTCACTGGGTACTTGCACTGGGTTTAGCACATGAGAAGGCAGTATTAAAATAAAGATAACACAGGTGGGAATGTAGAAGGCTGTTACTTTAGAAATGCAACTTAAAACCAGGAGCTCTCCTTATGCCAACAGTACAGACCGCTGCTTCTGGAAACTGAACCTTAGATAGGTGGCTACTTTGGGACTACAAAGGTGCAGGCACACCCTTCAAAGCTTAAATTACAAGACAACGCAATAAGGGACATTCTGGTACTCAACAATCTTGCTAAGAGTTCACGAGCAACTTCCAAAGCCTGGGGGAGAATGTTTACGAAAATCTTTTAAAAGCAGAAAGATAAAATTTACAGAACACGGAGCACAGCAATATCAAGAACTGGTTGGAAAGAAAGCTTGTTCTATACTACAGAACATCCTTCTGCAGAAGACAGCCTCTTATGATGGGAAGTAGCATTTCGTTCAGGCTGCTACTTGCAGATGAACTGATTAAAACTCACTAGAAGTCAAGTGCGTGGATGCTAACAATTAGCATGACTGATCATTAATGTGACTTGCCAAATCACAGAATCAGATGGAGAACATCCACTTATCTTGAACACAAACACTTACTGTTTTGGCATCACGGACAAGGAAAACTAGGTTTTCTGGTTTTTCGTCTTCCCCATCACCCCACATTGGAAATAAGATGTACCCATTTTGTTTCTTGTGCTGTGCTGTCCTGTCTTAGACTTTTATACTTTCCTGTGCTGTTCAGAGGTATGTCATAACCCCTCTCCCTCCCTGCCCTCACACTCTGTACCCATGAGTGTAGTACAGGCAGGACAAACAGCAACAATTCATGTTTGTTCCCTGGCTCTCTAACACTGACTGTTAAATAAATTCTATTCTATTTCCTGTTTAACAATGGTACAGCCCATGTGACTGCTCTGTTTGTAAATCAGTTTGGTTTTTTTTCTAATCATTAGTGTAGCAGGAGGGGGGGCGGGTCCTAGGGTCGCAGTGCTCTCCCCTGGTGTCCCTTACTGTGTCCAGTTTGTCTACGAAGCACCCTTCATTCTCGCCCACCATGTCTTTGCTGTCAAATGTATATGATAGGGAGGCTGCCTCTTCGTCTCCCTGGACACTGTTTTCCTCCTGTACATTAGCCCTGCTTCGCTAATGGGTGTTTCTGTGCACCCCAGCCCTATGGCCTATGCGTGGCTCCAACCACCCCTGTACCACACCCCAAGCCTCACTGATGTACCCAGCGTTGTTCGGTCTTAGACTATCTTTGACGATCGGGCTCTCCGCAGCCTGCGTCTCACAACCATGCCTCACCGGGTGCTCATAGAATCATGGCCCCCTTGTCTGGGGCTGGGGTTCCCACTCTGCCGTGGGTCCCCTTATGAGGCCTCCTCCTTCCCCTTATAGTCTCTCCCAAGCCACCGGTAGTAAACAGCAAACACAAAACTCAAGCCCCTAGGCTATAACATAAATTTCTGCCAATCGGCTACAACCGATTGAAAGGTGCTCCGTCCATTACCCGTACCAACTGCTCGTGCGTTTTGGTCTCTTCACTTGCTCCGGCAGAGTTCCTACCCCTTTGGCTGCCAGCAGGGAACTGCCTCCTGGCCTCTGGCCTGTGATTTATAGAGAAGCCAGGCCCTGTCCCTTCCGGCCAGCTGACCAGGCAGGTGTGGGTCCTTAGCTCCCTTTGGCTGTCCTGGCAACTTGCACCTGGGTGGTTATCCTGGCTCTCCAAGTAGCAGGCACCTTGGTGCCCTGCTACAATTAGAAACTAGGTTTAATATTGCCTTGCCACTATGCTCTCAATGCCCTGTATTTCTCTCAAAGAAAAACATCTTTTAAGACTTTCTTTTTTTACTTAGGGTAGTGCATAATAGGGGCCTCAGACATGAATCATGAATTTGGGGGCTGGACTCCATGATCTTCCAAGGTCCCTTCCAGCCCTAATGTCTATGAAATCAGCACCACTGTGTCAGGCACTGTACAGACACAATCACACCATTTTTTTTTTAGTCATATTACTGTCATCATCAGCCTGCTCAACCGAGGTAACAACTAATTCAAATGCTACATTCATGGCAAATATATATGAGGCTCTTTTTTTATCCCCATGGATGTTATGAGAATGCAAATCTGGGCAAAGCAGCAAGTCAGGATGTTGTTATTGCTTGTATGCTTAGGTGTGGGACAACCAACAGTGGAGAAAAAAGTATCAGCATTGTGATTAAAATGATCCCATATAGCAGATTTTCTCAGTTATAATGTTTGCTGAGATTTATGGCACTCTCTTAGAA